TACTGATAACTAAACTTTTTCAAACACATGTGTTCAAACTATACTTAAAATTGATAAAGGAGATTCTTTATCTTATGTTCACTGTAACAAAATTAAGCAAATGACATATAGATTAAAAAAAAAATTTTAGGTATTCCAGGTTAGGCACCAAGTATGAAGCAAGTCTAGTTCAAATTATATAACAGAGATTTGCTTCATATCTTTATATTTGAGCCCAAAACAAGTATGTAATCTCTGTGAAGTCTTGGCCTTGTTGGCTCCTGTCTATGTATACTCAAGGTTTAGCTCAGAGTCTGACACACAGTAGGTGCGTAGTTAATGTATAACTGACAAATGTTTGTTAATTATATGGAATTTTTTTAAAAAAGGAATGAAGGTTATTTCGGAGAGAAAATCACATACAAATAAATGCACACAAACACATACACTCAGATGCACACATATACACACATATTCCCTCTCCACCTCCTCCTGCATTAACCACTCCCACCACACCCACAGGTGGATCAGTTCCTTAGAGGGAAGATATCTCCACAAAGGGGAAAGTGTTTATGGTGTCTCTTAGATAGTTATCCTGACTTCTGTGTCTCACTAGTCAGACCACTGGGGAAAACAGAAACTATAAAAAGATATAGATAGAATTCGATGCATGCTCAGAAATACAGGCACAGGAAGTAGGTGGCTGGCAATGAACACTGGGGAACTATGGATTCTATTCAGGAGAGACTTGTAAATTCTCAGTAATTGCTGATGTGAAAAACACGTTTCATTTCTTTCGGAATACTAAAGGAAGCAAGTTTCTGGTACCACAAATAACATTCTTCAATCATGACTCGACTTTTAGATTGTGCAAATGCGGACTCTCCTGCATCTGGAGTTTGCTTCACATCTTCCTCACGGAACCAGAAATGCTACTAGGTATGTAAGGAAAGTCTGCCTGCGTCAGTACACCACTGCTCCCCTGCGTTCAGTGCTGCCAGATGCTACGACTGTGTGGTTCTTCTGAAAATCTGTTAATTATTTGTTCCTTTGTTCTTTGAAGGAACATTGGACCCTCACTTCTCTTCTCCCAGCATACTCCTAAAGAATGCCCAGGTGATATATTCACATTAAGGGCTCACTCAGGTATCTCAGAGTTCTCACTGTACAGCTCAGTTAGGGAAAATAATGTTCAAATGTCTGGCTTATTTGGGGGGGGGACCATTAAATTCCCTTCAGTTAGAATTTATTCTGAGTCTTCTACCTCTTTGTTTATAAATTAGTCAGTGAAGTTTTTATTGACAGACTGTTCTTTAGCTGGAGCAATAAAGCAAGCTGTTATTTTTTCAGAGTTGTTGGCAAGTGACAAGTGGCAAGTGACAATCGAGAAAGAAGTGGAAGAGCAGACTCTCGTTCCTTTCGATTTACCTACAGATTAACTTTTTTTTTTCAGATGCATTAAATAATTAAATTCCAAATGCAATCATTACATGCAAAATATAAAAACCACAAAATAAAATGAATTACAGGTTAACATTTACATAACTCTAGGACAGGATAACATGATGCCAGGGGACAAAAGTATTAAAGAAATCAAATGATTTGGCCAGGTGTGATGGCTCACCCCTGGAATCCCAGTACCCTGAGACGCCAAGGTGGGTAGATCACCTAAGGTCAGGAGTTTGAGACCAGGCTAGCCAACATGGTGAAACCCCATCTCTACTAAAAATATAAAAAAATTAGCCGGGCATGGTGGCACATGCCCGTAATCCCAGCTACTCAGGAGGCTGAGGCAGGAGAATCACTTGAACCAGGGAGGTGGAGGTTGCAGTAAGCTGAGATCATGCCATTGTACTCCAGCCTGGGTGACAGAGCAAAACTCCATCTCAAGAAACCAAAACAAACAAACAAACAAACAAACAAAAAAAAAAAAAAAACAAGAAACCAATTAATTTGACTACACGCAAAATGCAAACTTCTATGAAAAGCACCATAAGTAGTCTGGGCAACTGTGAAAGCCCATCTCTACTAAAAGTATAAAAACTAGGCATGATGGCATGCACCTCTAGTCCCAGCTATGATGCTAAGATGGGAGGGTCATCTGAGCCCAGGAAGTCAAGGCTGCAGTGAACCATGATCATGACACTACACTCCAGCCTGGGTGACGGGAGTGAGACTCTATCTCAGGAAAAAAAAAAAAAATCAACAGAATACAGATATTTTTAAAAAGCCCCATAAGTAAAGCTAAAAACTAAATTAAAAAATACCTGTATCATACGACCAAAGGAAAAAAAACCATATATAAAAAGATGTTACAAATAAGAAAATGTCAAACTGTCTGAAAAAATGAAAAGGATATAAGCTAAGAATAAAAGCAAGTTTTAAAAGAAATGCAAATTAAACCAAACAGATATTATAGCAATAATCATTTAAAACACAAATACTTAAGAGAAGAAGAGCCCTCACACTTGTAATTCCAAAAGTGCTCTTTTAGAATTCCCAGCAAGCGGATGGGGCTGTGGAGGAGGATGTGGCTTCCTTGTCAGTCACATAGAATGTATTGCCCAAGCGCTTTGTTCCCCCTCTTCTCTCCAGTTGCCCATTTGTACTCTCACTTGATGTGAACAGAAAGACCAAAGAGGTGAATTTAAGCTTACTATTTGAGCTACTAATAGATATAGTTTGGTAGAGGCAATAGAAATGAATGCAGTGAGATTTTTAAATTCTCTGTGAAGTTTATTTATCCATCTTTCTCTGACCCTGTATTCCACAGATAACTATAATTTCACTTCATCTGAAATAATGCCACCAAGGTCTTGAACGTTATGAAGTCAAATAATGAGCAGGTGGGGGCCAGGCACAGTGGTTCATGCCTGTAATCCCAACGCTTTGGAAGGCCAAGGTGGGCAGATCTCATAAGGTCAGGAGTTCAAGACCAGCTGGCCAACATGGTGAAACCCCGTTTCTACTAAAAATGCAAAAATTAGCCAGCCATGGTGGCAGGTGCCTATAATCCCAGCTACTCAGGAAGCTGAGATATGAGAATAGCTTGAACCTGGGAGGTGGAGGTTGCAGTGAGCCAAGGTCATACCACTGCACTCCAGCCTGGGAGATAGAGCAAGACTCTGTTTCAGAACTTATGCGGTGGGAGTCAAGTCTTATGAGGTCTGGTTCCAGATCAATTGTCATCAGTTGGAATTATATTTCTCTTCTCAGTACCAACAATTTCCTGGCCTGTGAATAGGATAAATTAATTCATGTCTTATTCTCTGTCTACTGCCTTGAAAAGCCCTGAATATCTAATTTATGCCAAATAAAATTTGTTATTATGTCCCCTGTACTACATAGATTTATTCAAGTTATTCCTAAATGGAATAAATATGTTTCTTCAGACCCACAGCATGCAGTTGGACATGCTGCAAAACACACAGCTCAAGGAACCCTCGCTCTACGCACATAACTGTGCGGATGTAGGCTGCAGTCTTGATTGATTTTATAAAAACTAAGTTCCAAAAGGGTAGGAAATTTATTTTGTACATTCACCATTATACCCCCAGAACTCAACACACTGCTAGCAATATAATAAATGATGAATAAATGAGTTAAATTCTTGAATAAACAAATAAATATATGAAATGCTATAATTGAAATTTAGCATCCAACCTCTTTTTTTTAATTGCAAGCCCAGTAATTATATTTTCCAAGAATGATCTAGCATGAAGTCTGGCAAATATAAACAGTTATAAAAAGTATATTTGAAATTACAGCTGTTCTAAAAATTTAGATGCATGTGATCATGATTATTCATTCATTAAACTGAACTGCTTGGACAAAATTTACGTTTTCTTAAAAATCATGTTTATTAGATAAATTGTTGAATTACTCTTAAAATATTGTTAACATGAATATCCAAAGTTACCTCAGCAATAAAACATTTATGCTTTTGGGTTTGCTCCAGGTTTGATCAAGTACTGAAAGGCAGGCCCCTTGTTCTCTGTGGATCGTATAAATGATGTAAAGATGGAATTTTGTGAGTAAGTTAACAGTGATACTAACAATACAGTAAATTATCCTACTTTAAAGTCATTATATTGCTAAATTTAAAATATTGATAGTGGCTTACCCAATCAAATATTCTGAACTTTAATAAGGATATTTTTGGACATAGTAATAAGCCTACTGGACCAATAGTTTCTAGAAGGTTGTTAGCAAAATATCTAAGTTATTAGTCTTGTCTCAACTTCTGATATACCCAATATCAGAAAGATCTTTCTGGTCTCTGCACATCCTGAGGTGACCCTTTTATTCATTATTTAATTTCGGTAAAAGCAAGATAATGAAGGGACAAATTATAAAGTTTAGGGCTTAATTTCTAGCAAAAATGAAGGCACGTGGTTTTATTACTAAAGAAATTGACTTACCCAACAGCAAAGTGCCTCAAGAGCTGAGCCACAATGTAGAATAGTGCAATTCGGTGGAGAAGAAGGCTGACAAGCAGGGAAAACAGTGGCCTGCAAAAGAAGTCATGGGTGAGAGATAAAACAGCTGCCTTCAGTTATTTAAGACCTCACTATCACCATCATGGAAAAGGAATCAGACTTATTTTGTGTAGCTTCAACCAAGCTGAAGTTTACCTGTTGACTTGGGGTGTGCCAGGATCAGGGGATAAAAGTAATCAAGGAGACAAAGCTTGCTCACCATAAAGAAGGGCTTTGAGAGAACTAGAGCTCCTCAGAAGAAAAGGCGGCTGGATTATTCATCAAATCCAGATGCCGCCAGGGAGAACGTGATCTAGAAGGAACTACATATATAGCTTTCACACCATTTTATAGATTCCTAAGGGTTCTGCAGCTCCTCCTTGAGAGTACCAAAAGGAAGGGAGCTGAAGACTCCCCCAAGTTTTATTCCTATCTGCTTTTTATTGGACTTCTACATATGAAGCTCTAAGAAGGCAATTTAATATAGCAGCTATTTTTGCTGCAGATTTATATTCAATTTTGCTTTAAAGTAAAAGCATGTGTCCAAAGTTTATATTTATATGTAGAGAATCTAAGGGGCAGTTATTTTACCATTAAACATGAAATATTACTGAGACTCAGGGCTATAGAAACATTTGAAATGAAATGTGATTTGTTCCAAGCCAGTCTCCAAAGAGGCCAATGTATCTAGGCGATTCTGGCTTTGTACATATGTTTAAGTGAACCCTTCAAATCTATTTGAACTTCAGTCACCCTGTCTGTGAAAGAGAAGGGTAAAGAATACCTCCTTGCAGCAAAAAGGGTCATTAGGAAGATCAAATGAGATAATGTATATAAAAATGTTTAGTACATCAGCCAGCATGAGTTAGCAAAGTCTTCAAATGTTCCTTATTATTCATTCTTTGATTACTTATGTTTTCCAACAGCTTTGGGACCCCAGAACAGAACAACGCATTTCATGACTGAGTTTGTCCTCCTGGGTTTCCATGGTCAAAGGGAGATGCAAAGCTGCTTCTTCTCATTCATCCTTGTTCTCTATCTCCTGACACTGCTAGGGAATGGAGCAATTGTCTGTGCAGTGAAATAGGACAGGCGGCTCCACACACCCATGTACATCCTCTTGGGAAACTTTGCCTTTCTAGAGATCTGGTACATTTCCTCCACTGTCCCAAACATGCTAGTCAATATCCTCTCTGAGACTAAAACCATCTCCTTCTCTGGCTGCTTCCTGCAATTCTATTTCTTTTTTTCATTGGGTACACCAGAGTGTTTCTTCTTATCATTTATGGCTTATGATCGGTACCTGGCCATCTGTTGCCCATTACACTACCCCTCCATCATGACTGGGAAGTTCTGTGTGATTCTGGTCTGTGTATGCTGGGTAGGCAGATTTCTCTGCTATCCAGTCCCCATTGTTCTGATCTCCCAACTTCCCTTCTGTGGGCCCAACATCATTGACTGTTTTGTGTGTGACCCAGGCCCATTGTTTGCACTGGCCTGCATCTCTGCTCCTTCCACCGAGCTTATCTGTTACATCTTCAACTCGATGATTATCTTTGGGTCCTTCCTCTCCATCGTGGGGTCTTACACTCTGGTCATCAGAGCTGTGCTTCGTATTCCCTCTGCTGCTGGTCGAACTAAAGCTTTCCCCACATGTGGGTCCCCCCTAATGGTGGTGTCTCTATTCTATGGAACACTTATGGTGATGTATGTGAGCCCAACATCAGGGAATTCAGCAGGAATGCAGAAGATCATCACTCTGGTATACTCAGCAATGATTCCACTCTTAAACCCCCTTATCTACAGTCTCTGGAACAAAGACATGAAAGATGCTCTGAAGAGAGTCCTGCAGTTAACTGTTATCCAAAACTGAGATATCTTTGAAAAAGGTGCCAAATTGGTCGCCTCTGATTTTAACTTTTTATAACTGTAGAGAGTAGCTTTAGTAGTATGTTCTGGCCCACCCTCAGGTAGACAGACTTATCTTTCACAGTTTCTTAGCAGTTCAAGTTCAGCTCATGAATTATAAATGCCAATGCTCAATAAAACATTTTAAACATATGTGGCCTCACTGAGTAGTTATGTGGTGGGTGGGTGCATATATACATATATTATTTTTCTGTGATGTATCTTTGCTAGTTTTAATCTTAGCTGACAGAAGAAATCAGTTGCATATGTACCCAAGCCTTTCAAAAACATGAGATCTGGCTAGGCACGGTGGCTCATGCCTATAATCCTAGCACTTTGGGAGGCCAAGACTGGAGGATCACCTAAGGTCAGGAGTTCAAGACCAGCCTGGGCAACATGATAAAACCCTGTCTCTACTAAAAATACAAAACTAAGCTAGGACTGATGGTGCACACCTATAATCCTAGCTACTGAAAAGGCTGAGGCATGAGAATTTCTCAAACGTGGGAGGCGAAGGTTGCAGTGAGCTGATATCATGCCACTGCCCCACAGCCTGCATGATAGAGCAAGACTGCATCTCAAAAAAAAAAAAAAAAAAGTGAAATCTTTTCAATTCAGAAAAATGTTTTTTTTCTGAAATGGAGTTTCACTCTTGTTGCCCAGGCTGGAGTGCAATGGCACAGTCTCAGCTCACTGCAAACTCCACCTCCCAGGTTCAAGTAATCCTCTTGCCTCAGCCTCCCAAGTAGCTGGGATTATAGGTACCCACCACCACATCTGCTTATTTTTGTATTTTTAGTAGAGACTGGGTCATTTTTGTATTTTTAGTACAGACAGGGTTTCACCATGTTGGCCAAGCCGATCTCAAACTCCTGACCTCAGTGATACACCAGCCTTGGCCTCACATAGTGCTGGGATTACAGGCATGAGCCACCATGCCCGGCCAGAAAATAAACATTCTTAAAGAATACTTGTGTGTCAACAGGCCACCAGAAAAAACCTAGTAAAGACCTCTTTCATTGTTTGAGATTGTCTTTCACACCAAGAACAGAATATGCTTTAAACCTCTATGCTTCATACCTCTATCCCTTAGAGAGGAAAACCAAACTCTGCCATTCAAAGCCTTCACTCAATAGACTGGCCCATTCAGTTTTTTCTCCTAGTGATACACTGTACAAGTCTTGCACTTCATGAAGATCAGTCCTCAGGCATATTTAGTCTCAAATGGGTATCTTTACTCATAGCACTTCCTCTCTAAATTAGTTGTGACAACCCCAGTATCACTTATAATATGGAACAATGCCCTAAACATATTTTTATTTGTACCCAGCAGTTTCCATGTCAAATTGGCACCACAGGAACACATTTAATCTAGGGCTTTACCTATTCCACAGCATAAAACCACATGCTGTTTGAGCACAAACTTAAGAAGACCATGGTGTTTCCTCAGAGTAAATATAACACATTATTTTTAATAATCCCTGTAGGAAATGTTAACAAAAATATCAATTAAACCCCCAGGCAAATGTATAAAGGTCCCTAGAGACAGCACAGAAAGTTACAGAATCACTGGAACATGAAGGGACACCTGAGAATTCTCCACAGTGGCTCAAATGAGGCATAAATTAAGACCAACACATAGTTTCGACACCCTCAATGAGAAACAAACCACTAGAATCTTAGGGTACAAGAAAAATGAAATAAGCCACTGATAAAGCTCTCACCCAGGACTTCCATATGATAGCCAATGAAGGAGAGAGTCCTTGTGGCCCCCCTGCAGGCTCTCTACAAGATGATCTAGGAAAGCCTCCTGGTATGCTAGAATATTGGTTTGTCTTTTAGCTCAAAAACCAAAAGAAAAAAAAGGAAAAAAAAAATCCCTCAGAGTGTTTAGATCACCATGCAATTCACACTTTCCAAAACAAATGCACTAGTCATCCACAGGTCTTTCCCTTCTCAGGAAGTGCCTGAGGCACCAGGAATGCTATGACTTTTGTAGAGATTTTGAGCTTAATAGTATGGAACTAGCTTTATCCACTGGGACTAAAATCTAAAGAAAACTGAATTTTTTTAATCTTCTCTCTCAGTTTTCCTCTCTCTGTCCATTCTATTACTTGCTCTGCACCTTCAGAAGTGATATTTAAAAAGAAGAAAGGATAAAAATCAAATCAATGCTTTGGAGGACTAAGATCTCACATAGGTTTAGTAATGAATATATTTGAAATTGTTTCTTACAAATATGTTGGAAATTATCTGTGAAATTTATTTACCATGCTTTCCCTATGGCTAATAATTTTTCTACAAGGTTTTTGTTTGTTTGTTGTTTTCAATGTCAATGAAAGTAGTCTAAGCTTAAAGAAGCAGCTCAGACTTGTGCATTTTGATTTTGGGTCAAAGTCTGTGAATCTGAGTTCAAAATCATGTTGTTTCTTCTCTGTTGCAAGGACAAGTGACTGCTCTCTGCATCACTGCTTTCTCATCTTGTTGAGGAGAGGGGTTTCTTGCTTGGAAAGGAGGAGAATACAGAGAGGACCCATAGAGGGGAACCATTCTTTCATGATGTCGTACAAAAATGACCCTCAATGTAGGTTTAGCTTAGTTCTTCATAATCATCCTAGTTTAAAAATTAAAAATCACTGATCCCCATCTTGAAGTTTCTTTCTTTTTGGCTTCTTGTCCACCAGACTACAACCTTCTGCAAAACCAGCTCTATGAAAAGGTTTATGTTTCCTTCTAACATAGTAGATTCATAGTTCACCTTGTGCATTACTAACTTGTGGGGTCTGCAACAGCTGTATGATCATAAATGTGTTTCTTGGCCGGGCGCGGTGGCTCACGCCTGTAATCCCAGTACTTTGGGAGGCCGAGGCGGGTGGATCACGAGGTCAAGAGATCGAGACCATCCTGGTCAACATGGTGAAACCCCGTCTCTACTAAAAATACAAAAAATCAGCTGGGCATGGTGGTGCGTGCCTGTAATCCCAGCTACTCAGGAGGCTGAGGCAGGAGAATTGCCTGAACCCAGGACGCGGAGGTTGCGGTGAGCCGAGATCGCGCCATTGCACTCCAGCCTGGGTAACAACAGTGAAACTCCATCTCAAAAAAATAAATAAATAAATAAATAAATAAAAAATAAATGTGTTTCTTATTTAATATAACCTCACTGAATAGGGGTTTTTTTTTTCTATTTGATTATGTTCAGTGAGTACTATAAATAATACTATATATATGCATATATACACACATATATTGTGTGGATATATATATTTACATATAAAATGCATATATCACTTCTATCAAATACTATACATGTGTGACTTTTGAGACAAATCTAAGGCAAATTATCTTCTTATCAATCAAAAAAGTTAAAGATATCTTGTTAAAATTTTTCTGAAGCGTGCCCTATGTTAAAGCTATCATTTACTCTTTCCTTGGAGTTCTATTTGATTCTTGAAAATATGTCTTATTTGGTGGTGGTGTTCTAAAGAAAACAAACCAAATTTTGGAAAATGAGCAAATAATTATTTTTGAAATAACACCTTTGATTCTCTTATATCTTTTTTTGAATATTTGGAGGCTATTTTTTTTTTACATATACTAAAGAAAGATCTTCTAAATAGTGAATTTTTGAGAAAATTCTAGAAAAATAAGAGGAACTTTAGAAGAAAATATCTCAGTAACTGCAGTTTTATTCTCTAAAATATCTTATATGTTATCTTTAATGAAATATTTATTTTTAAATGCATATGGAGCATGATAAATTATAATGTAAAATTAGTCACCAGGAAATGAATAATTATGACATTTTATTGCTAAAAGTAAATGATTAAATACCAAATTGTAAATAAGCCATAGTACAATATAAATGTCTCTAACTAGGAAAACGCAAAATATATAAAGAATTTGATCATCTAAATATCCTGGTTGATTTTCTCTTGGTATCACTAAAAAGAAAAGTTGGAAGAAAATAAATACTCCTAAACTAAAAATAGCTCCAGAAAGAAATTATATGAAATAATGTCAAATCACAAACCACTCAAAGCTGTCAAAAGTCTCAGATTTGAATATATTTAAAACGATGGCATGTGTCTTCATATTTTGAAGTGAAGAGCACTAAGTAATTGCTATATATGAACATCTTTTACTGAAAAACAAATTAGATATAAAACAAACCATTTTTGCCTCTATTTCAAGACTTTTTTTATATCAAAAGAAGATGAAATGTTTATTTTTGTCCATTGCCACAGAAAATTCAAACAGCCTGGAGTTTACAAGAATCAGAGCCAAAGGACTTATTCGAGAAAGATAAATCAGGATTTGCTTAGGAATTTTTTTTAGAATATCTAATATATTCACCTGAAAGAGTCAAACTCCTTATCCCCCCAAAAAAGCTTCAGGATGCCTTATCAGCAAAGTAAATTGCCATTGCCTATCTGTGTTCTCTCCACAGTCTGGGGGAACCATGAATAACTCACAGATATCTACTGTGACACAGTTTGTCTTGTTGGGCTTTCCTGGTACCTGGAAAATTCAGATCATCTTTTTCTTTTTTATATTTTATTTTATTTTTTATTTTTTTCTTTTTTTTTCTTTTTATTGAGACGGAGTTTCGCTCTTGTTACCCAGGCTCGGCTCACCGCAACCTCCGCCTCCTGGGTTCAGGCAATTCTCCTGCCTCAGTCTCCTAAGTAGCTGGGATTACAGGCACACGCCACCATGCCCAGCTGAATTTTTGTATTTTTAGTAGAGACGGGGTTTCGCCATGTTGACCAGGATGGTCTCGATCTCTTGACCTCATGATCCACCCGCCTCGGCCTCCCAAAGTGCTGGGATTACAGGCGTGAGCCACCGCGCCCGGCCCAGATCATCTTTTTCTCAATGATTTTGTTGGTCTACATCTTGACTCTGACTGGGAATATGGCCATCATCTGTGCAGTGAGGTGGGATCACCGGCTCCATACACCTATGTACATACTTCTGGCCAACTTCTCCTTCCTAGAGATCTGGTATGTGACCTGCACAGTCCCCAACATGCTGCTAAATTTTTTTTCCAAAACCAAGACTATATCCTTCTCTGGATGCTTCACTCAGTTCTACTTCTTCTTTTCCCTGGGCACAACTGAATGCTTCTTCCTCTGTGTCATGGCTTACGATCAGTACCTGGCCATCTGCCACCCTCTTCACTATCCCTCCATCATGACTGGTCAGCTCTGTGCCATTTTGGTATCTCTTTGTTGGCTCATTGGTTTCCTTGGACATTCAATTTCCATTTTCCTCATTTCTCAACTACCTTTCTGCGGTCCCAACATCATTGATCATTTTCTGTGTGATGTGGACCCACTGATGGCATTGTCCTGTGCCCCTACTTACATCATAGAGCATGTGTTCCATTCTGTGAGCTCTCTTTTCATCATCCTCACCATGGTGTACATCCTTGGGTCCTATGCCTTAGTACTCAGAACTGTGCTTCAGATTCCTTCTTCAGCCGGATGGCAAAAGGCCTCCTCTACCTGTGGATCGCACTTGGTTGTGGTGTCTCTGTTCTATGGAACCATAATGGTGATGTATGTGAGTCCCACATCTGGCAACTCAGTTGCTATGCATAAGGTTATCACACTGATATATTCTGTGGTAACACCTGTCTTAAACCCTCTCATCTACAGCCTTCGCAACAAGGACATGAAATATGTAAAAAAAAAAAAAAAAAGTAAGTCTATACAGAGTAGGTTACCCAAATCCAGGGTTAAAAGAAGTCATATGGAGTCAGCCAGTGAAGCATTGCCCACATCAGAGAATCTACAGTTTGGAGAGCCCACCTCAAAAAAAGAAAATATTTCATGAAAAAGACATTTAGACTACTGTTAAGCCTATAAGGTAACAATATCTAAGTCAAGAAAAGGACTTTCTGCCTTTACTTCTTTCCCACCCCAAACCTAGAATAACCAGAGTCAGCAGACTAATGGAGGAAAAGAGAAATGAAAGGTCAGAGGGAAACAAGCAGATCAAGCCTAAATCAGATCCAGTTTGGAGGAATGAGTTTTAATTTGGATAAAAAAATTAAAATTTTAGTTTTAGACTATACAGTCAGCCTTCAGTTATCTATGGGTCCCACATCCATGGATTCAACCAACCTCAGATTGAAAATATTTGGGGGGAAAAATGTATCTTTACTGAACATGTATAGATTTTTTTTCTTGTCACCATTCCCTAAATAATACAGTATAACAGCTATTTACATTGCATTTGTATATACATAACCTAGGGATGATTTAAAGTATGTGGGAGGAGGTTACAGTGAGCTATGATTGTGCCACTGCACCCCAGCCCTAGCAACAGACCCTGTCTCTAAAAAAATGAAAAATAAAATAAAGTATAATGACGGTGTGCAATAAAGTGTGGGTGATATGAAAATACTACACCATTCTACATAAGGAACTTGAGCTTGTGGATTATGGTATCCACAGGAGGTCCTGGAACCAATCCCTCATGTCTACTGAGAAACAAATGGACTAGAATTCCTAATGGCCTGGATAAGGAGGTCACATATTAAAAATAAAAATGGTTATAAAAGGTACCAGCCCAAGATAGTATCCATAGGTGGAAATAAATTACACATCAGAAAGTGTTTACAATAGACATGGTGGGGAAAAATCAAGCTCCTTTATATTTATATCCTACCAATGCAAATCATTCAATAAAATAGTTGTAGCTACAAATGTTTAAATGTTGCTGTAGCCTAAAAGAGGAAGAAAGCTCCTACCTGAAAGACCAAGGGACTCTCCTGGAAAGCCCCCTTGGACAAGTGGAAAACACTATGCTTCAGGGTAAGTAGAAGGGCCTAAAAAAAATGGGGAAATGAGCGATAGGTGTTGGCTCACACCTGTAATCCTAGCACTTTGGGAGGCCAAGGTGGGCAGATCATGAGATCAGGAGTTCAAGATCAGCCTGGTCAATATGATGAAACCCTGTCTCTACTAAAAATACAAAAATTAGCCAGGCCTGTAGGCACATGCCTGTAATTCCAGCTACTCGGGAATCTAAGACAGGAGAATCACTTGAACCTGGGAGTCAGACGTTGCAGTGAGCAGAGATCACACCACTGTACTCCAGCCTGCACAACAGGCGAGACTCCTTCTCCAAAAAAAAAGGGGCGGGAGGGAATCCTTAGCCGGGGGTGGTGGCTCACACCTATAATCCCAGCACTTTGGGAGGCTGAGGCAGGCAGATCACAAGGTCAGGACTTCAAGACCAGCCTGGCCAATATGGTGAACACCCACCTCTACTAAAATACAAAAGTAGCCAGGCGTGGTGGTGCATGCCTGTAATCCCAGCACTCAGAAGGCTGAGGCAGAATCACTTTAACCCGGGATGCAGAAGTTGCCATGAGCCAAGATCACGCCACTGCACTACAGCCTGGTGACAGAGTGGGACAGTCTCAAAAAAAAAAAAAAAAAAAGGTAATGGAATTAGAAAATCTGCTTAGGATGGTACTAAAGATAAGGTTGAACTACCAATCACAGTTTTGCCTTCAGTCAGCCCTAATATTTCAGTGGCTCAGCTGAACTTGTTAGTTGAAAAGGGGCAGCAAATATTTGTATTACTCTCAATAACTCAAAGCATCCTACTGCTGCAACTTATTAGATGTCAAATACATAGCGTCACCTGTCTAAAACCAATTCTTTTGTTAATATTCAGCTTGGACATGACTTCCATCCTAAGGCCATTCTCACATCCCTAACCTATACTGTGTTTCTCTTCTTGATATATATGGAAAACACAAGCTTATATTCCAATTACTGTACCTAAAGACTATGAGGTCCGTTATGTGTCGGTGTCTCTCCCCCTAGACAATTAGACTTTTGAAGATAAGAACAGTGTCAGGGGAGGATCTAAGATAGCCGAATAGGAACAGCTCCAGAGTTCAGTTCCCAGCAAGAACAATGCAGAGGGTGAGTGCTCACCATGTTTCCAAACAAGTTTGCACTGAGCACAGGCCAGGAGATTCCCAGGCCAAAAAGTGCCATGAGTTTTCAGCACAGCTGGTGCAGCAGGTTGGTGCACAGAAACTCACACAAATCTGGGCAGTCAGCCATTTCAACTGGTGCCTGGAATGCCTGGAAGACAGAGCCGCCCATTCAACTCAAAGGGAGGGGGCTGAGACAGGGAGCCAGGTGATCTGTCTAGGTGGGTACCACCCCCACAAAACAAGCAATCTGAAAAACTCTGGATTGAGAGTTTCGCAGCAAGGACAGCTGGACCCAGGACGGTCCAGCTCAGTGAGGGGGATGGGTATCTGCCACTACTGAGGCAGTCCACCAATACCAAAGCAGTTCACACAGCAACTGGGCAGGGCCTGTGGCAGCTCAGCAACACCTCTGCTGGCAGACTGTGACTAGACTACTCCATGTGGGGCAGGGCATCTCTGTAAAAAGGCAGCAGCATGTCAGGCACATATAATTAAAGCCGACCTTCCTAGGTCAGAGCATCTGAGAAAAGAGGTGGTTATGAGTTCTTCTGCAGCAGACGCAAAGGTACCTGCCCAGCAGCTCTGCACAGAACAACGGAGCTCCCAGCACAGCACTTGAGCTCCTATAAGGGACAGACCATCTCCTCAAGCACCTCCCCGACCCCCATACCCCTAAAGAGACACCTCATAAAAGAGAGCTCAGGCCAGCATCTGGCAGGTACCCTTCTGGGATGAATATAACAGAAGAAAAAACCAGCAGCAACCCTTACTGTTCTGTAGCCCCCATGGGTGATCCCCAGGCAAGCAGGGTCTGGAGTGGACCTCTAGCAATCCTGCAGCAGAGGGGCCTGACTGTTAGAAGGAAAACTAAGAAACAGAAAGAAATAGCTTCAACATCAACAAAAAGGATGTCCACTCAGAGACCCCATCCAAAAGTCACCAACTACAAAGATCACAGGTAGATAAAGCCACTAAGACAGGAGGAAACCAGCACAAAAAGGATGAAAACACCAAAAACCAGAATGCCTCTCCCTCTCCAAGGGATCACAACTCCTCACCAGCTAGGGATCAAAGATGGATGGAGAATGAATCTGATGAACTGAAAGAAACAGGCTTCAGAAGGTGGGTAATAACAAACTTTTCAGAGCTGGAAAGAACACGTGGTAACCCAATGCAAAGAAACTAAGGGACTAGAGAAAGGGTTAGCTGAGAATGCTAACTAGAATAAACAGCTTAGAGAAGAATATAAATGACTTGATGGAGCTGAAAAACACAGCATGAGAACTTAGCAAAGCATATACAAGTTTCAATAGCCAAATCGACCAAGCAGAAGAAAGGATATCAGAGACAGAATATCAACTCAATGAAATAAAATGAGAAGGCAAGAATAGAGAAAAAGAGTGAAAAGAAATGAACAAAGCCTGCAAGAAATACGGGATTGTGTGAAAAGACCTAATCTATGCTTGATAGATGTACCTGAATGTGAGCGAGAGAATGAATCCAAGCTGGAAAACACTCTTCAGGATATTATCCAGGAGAACTTCCCCAATCTAGCAAGGCAGGCCAACATTCAAGTCCGGGAAATACAGATAACACCACAAAGATATTCCTCAAGAAGAGCAACCCCAAGGTACATAATCGTCAGATTCACCAAGGTTGAAATGAAGGAAAAAATGCTAAGGGAAGCAAGAGAGAAAGATTGGGTTACACACAAAGGGAAGCCCATCAGACTCACAGTGGATCTCTCAGCAGAAGCCCTACAAGCCAGAAGACAGTGGGGGCCGATATTTAACATCCTTAAAGAAAAGAACTTTCAACCTAGAATTTCATATCCAGCCAAACTAAGCTTCACAAGCAAAGGAAAAATAAAATCCTTTACAGACAAGCAATTGCTGAGAGATTTTGTCAACACTAGGCCTGCCTTCCAAGAGCTCCTGAAAGAAGCACTAAAAAAGAAAAGGAACAACCAGTACCAGCCACTCCAAAAACATACCAAATGGTAAAGACCATTGACACAATGAAGAAAATGCAGCAAAACATGCAGCCAGCATCAAAATGGCAGTATCAAATTCACACATAACAATATTAACCTTAAATGTAAATGGGCTAAATTCCCCAATCAAAAGACACAGACTGGCAAATTGGATAAAAAGTCAAGACCCACCAGTGTGCTATATTCAGGAAACCCATTTCATGTGCAAAGACACACATACGCTCAAAATAAGTGGATGAAGGAAGATTTGTCAAGCAAATGGAGAGCCAAAAAAAGCAGGAGTTGCAATCCCAGTCTCTGATAAAACTGACTTTAAACCAACAAAGATCAAAAGAGACCAAGAAGGGAATTACATAATGGTAAAAGGATCAATGCATCAAGAAGAGCTAACGATCCTAAATATATATGCATCCAATACAGGAGCACTCAGATATATAAAGCAAGTTCTTAATGACCTACAAAGAGACTTAGGCTCCCACACAATAATAGTGGGAGACTTTAACACTCCACTGTCAATGTTAGACAGATCGACAAGACAAAAAATTAAAAAGGATATCCAGGGCTTGAACTCAAATCTGGACCAAGTGGACCTAATAGACATCTACAGGACTCTCCACCCCAAATCCACAGAATATACATTCTTCTCAGCACCGCATTGCCCCTACTCTAAAATTGGCCACATAATTGGAAGTAAATCACTCCTCAGCAAATGCAAAAGAATGGAAATCATAATAAACCGTCTCTCAGACCACAGGGCAAATAAATTAGAACTCAAAATTAAGAAACTAACTCAGAACCGCATAACTTCATGGAAACTGAACAACCTGCTCCTGAATGTCAGCTGGATAAACAATAAAAAGAAGGCAGAAATAAAGATGTTCTTTGAAACCAATGAGAATGAAGACACAATGACCCAGAATCTCTAGGACACATTTAAAGCAGTGCTTAGAAGGAAATTTATAGCAATAAATGCCCACCAGAGAAGCAAGGAAAGATAAAAAATCAACACCCTATCATCAGAATTGAAAGAGCTAGAGGAGCAAGATCAAAGAAACTCAAAAGCTAGCGGAAGACAAGAAATAACTAAGATCAGAGCAAAACTAAAGGAGATAGAGACACAAAAAAACCTTTCAAAAAAATCAATAAATCCAGGAGCTGGTTTTTTGAAAAGATTAACAAAATAG